CTGGCTTTATAATGTAACTAAAACTTAACATAAACCACTTCTGTAAAATCCTGTCTGTCTAGCTGGTGACGCTCTCGCACTTCAGATTCATCACTTAGCCTCTAATGACTGAACAAAAAGGGTCCAGCGCTGTGTTCTCTCTTTGATCACACATGTACACATTTACCTTGTAAACAGGCTGAAATTCTTCGGTAACTGCAAAAATCGTCTGAATGTTATTTTCGCTTAGTTTCTGGACAAGGTGAGCAATAGAAGGATAATCCTAAGAAATTAAGTAATAAAATTTAGTATGAATGACATCCACCCTATTCCAGTTTTTCAATACTTTCTGAAAATAAAAATGACCTGCAGATGTGACCGGCTTGCTTTTGCAATTCAGCTTGAGAACAGAAATCACTGCTACAGGGGCTGGTACGTAGTGGGTTTCTAGTTCTCTTCTATCTTTAAGTGTGTGTAGAAATTCCCATGATAAAAAGGTTTTTAAAGGGCAAGATTATCTATGTGTATTAATGTTAGAACAATGAAATTAAAGAACTGCCAGTAATTAAAGGCTGCAAATCCATCACATAAGACCAAGACTCAGCAAGCCTTAAGTGCTCCCAGAACTTGAATCACCTGCCAATCTCTGCTTTCACTAGAGGCAGGGCGCCTCTGCCTGTAACTCACATATAAGTGAGGAGCGTAAGACTACACACACGATTTATCGAGCGTGCCACCCATGGAGCCCGCAAGGAGACCGTGCTGCGGGCTGAGATGCAGAGTCCGGAGCCACAGCTCCCATGGCTCCTGCCCTCGTCTACACGGAAGGAAGCAAGCGCAAAGCCACAGCCTTGAAACAGCAACACTAGCTTTCCTGACATCAGACCAGGGCCCAACTTACCAAAATAACTAAACCCCAAGCCCTGAAAAACCCACAGGCTGGTCACCCATGGCGCTCTTGGTATCAGACACCTAGAGTCAGCCCAGAGCCCGTCCACGTGGCAGGAGCTCAGCACTTACGTAATAATGGCTCATTGTGTACACATCATTTTCCAGGTGACACTGTCCATCATTCGGTAAAACAATGCCACCAAGCTTCCCATCTCCAGCAAAGTGAAATCCGGCATCCGTGGAAAACACCAGCAGCCGCGTCACATTCCTCCAGCCAATCAGTGACTAGAAAAGAAAAGGATTTCAACCGTAAAACCCCGCCTGCAATAACTGAGCAGAACCCTCTGGTCTCTGCGTGGGCTCCCACCACCCAGGAACCCAGCCCTGTGTCTCCTTACCATGCTAACTGCTCACCTGCTCGCGGTGGCGGCCACCCTCCACCCCTGGAAGCTCCACCTTGCCTGGTCGGCCCTCTCCATCGGCTCTTCTCCAAAAACTGTATCTTTTAAAGTCAACATCTCTCTTCCCATTGGACGGTGCGCTCCCCGCCGTGTGGGTCAGAGCCCCAGTGGGCAGCACAGGGCTCGGCACACGGTAGGTGCTTAATGACTAAGTGAAAGCATCTCAGCTACACCTTAACTGACTGCCGCGGTCTCTCTCTGCCACCCCACCTCAGCCCCCACAGCACAGACCTCCTTTATCGGCCTCCAGCTTCCGTCTTCCATTTTTCATTATAGAAAAACCTGCTAATGCCACCCATTCTTACCCATCAGTACTTTTATTTGGTCGTTTTTTTATTCTTCACCTTACTCAGCAAAAAACTTAAGTTAGCAGTAAAGTCCTCTTCCATGGTGGCTTTATAATCAATCACATCTGCCTAAATTTACTAGCCACATCTATGTCTGTCCTCATCAGGCTGCAAACGGCGTGAAGGCAGGGACAGCTCACTAAGGCTGGCAGTCCAGGTGGAATGTGTCTCGCACAGAGAGAAGTAAGTGGCAGTCGCTCTCGTGAGCACGACACACTGCTGGGCGCCCATGGCACTCTGTAAGGGCTCCTACAGTGGATTTCAGAATAGCCCGACAGGAGACACCTATCTCACCCCTTCCCAGGAGCAGGAGTCGGCCCTCTGGAGCAGCTGCGGACACTGCCGAGGATCAGGAGTGACGGGAGACCCAAAGTCCCACCCGACAGTCTCAAGAGTGTTCTCTCAAACATGACACCACCTTGTGCTCCTCTTTAGCATCACAGACATCAGGCAGCACATTAAAAACCGACTGAAAAACAACCACTAAGAAGCATCTGGAACCAAGGAAGGTCTCCTAGGGCATAGGGGTACTGTAAGGAAAACGGGGAGGAGGGCTGAGACAGTTGCAGGCACTGAAGACAAATTTTCTCTACCTCACAATGTTCTAGTTTCAGCTTCAGTTGTGTCATTAAAAGGTCATCTGAAACCCTTCAGCTGGTGAATGGGTCATAAAATTCTACTCACGACCCCAATTGAGATCACCTCACTACTACTGAAAACCTCACAATTAATACCACAAATATGATATGACGTCTCAAAATACATGTTCTCATCTAGCTTACAAACTAGGACTTAGAAAGTTCTTTCCTTCTGAGTGACTTGCACACAAGAAAGACACCTTTCAAAGATGATGAGCAGAAGAAAACTGACCAAAGGACACAGTCCATCAAAGCAGTTTTAATGCTCCCGGGACACCGTGGATGACCCCAACTCCCTCTCAAGCACAAAGTCCTTCTTCCAGGAGCCCAGGGCACCAGCTTCAGCTAAACCGCCCCACTGCTTCCCGTGCTGAGCGCTCCAGCCTTTAACGCCCATGTAAACGAACTAGCTGCCGGGCTCAAACAAGGGCATAATGGCTACCTATGCTTTTATGAAGTGCTTGCAGTTGAAAGGAAATCAAGGGGTTAGTCAAGTCTGATATGGTGCTTAAGGTAATTTTTTTCTACGGACTGATACCAAGATCACACTTAAAATGCACATAAATACCATCCTTCTGCAGAAGACGCCGGCACTCACCCCACACACTGCAACCTGCATGATGGCGTCAAAGCCGCCTTCCGGAGAGTCCAGGTTCCCGGAGATGCGCTGCTTCCCCACGAGCTCGTTGAATACCTCCCCTTTGTCAGTGAGGCTGAGCACATTTTTGTAGCTGAACGGGCTGGTGCAGTTCTGCTCGCTCGTGCAGGGGTTCCTGAGCTTAGCTGGTGTGGTGCTAATGTAAGGCATCACAGTTTTCTCCACAAATGAGCCAAACCCTGTGAAGGAAAAATGCACCCAGAGATGAGCAGATGGAGGGTGGACAGATGGATGGATAAACCACACAGAAGCGCCATGCTGTTACCATCTATAAGCCAACCTTTAGCAAGAAACAATCAGGGTTTAATAATGAGATCTGGAACGGAGATCGCTGCATGAAAAATCCAGGTGTGTCGTGAGACTAAGGCCACAAAGGCAGGTGTGGTATAGTAAACTAGAAATGAAACAGAATCTGCGCAATCAGCAAGTTTATGCAGTAAGTCAACAAACGAAGTTGTTCCTGTGAAAACAAGCACGCGTTCATTATCCATGGGTTGTAACTATCAGTAACACGGCAGCTACAGGAGCAGAGGAGCAAGGAGCCCAGAAGACATTCAGATGAATGACAGGCCCTCAGCCCTCCCAGGAAGACAGGGCCAAGACCCGGCTGCTCTCTCCCACAAGCGTGTGGGGAAGAGCAGGACGCCAGGACTCATGCTGATGGGGAGCCCCGATTTTCTCACCACTCCTACCGATTCTGAAGTCTGAGGTAATCCTCTTCATCTTATTCATCAGGTCTGTCCCCAGACTCTTCACATTCTCCAGGTCATCCTTCATGGAGTAGGACAGGTCCATGAGGTAGTAGAGGTCGATGGGGTAGTCCTCGGCACGCTTGAACTTCAACGTGAACGTCTGTGGCTCCCCTGATTAAACATGTTAGGAAAGAAGGTTAGCTTGCCAGCAATCAAAAGCCAATGAGAAAAACCAAGTGAATCGGATTTATAAGCTAAACACAATACAATGAATGTATTATTGACGTAATTTTTACAAGAGCCTGGGAGTTCATGGTACACACTAAACGGGTGTTTCATTCACAAATGCTGACAATGCCAGGCCCTGCGGATGACGAAAAAGACAGCAGCCCCACTGCACATCGGGCAGGACAGGCCAGCGACAAAGGAAAACAGGGAACAGCACAGGTTAGACGGGGTGGGTTTGCAGGCTCGCGCGGGGCACATGTGACTTAGTGCAGACTGATGCTGCACGCAGAGACTCCCCTGCCGAAGCGGACGGCTCCATGCCAGAGTGACATACCCTGACTTCCACCTTTGAACACCTAGAAAATGGGTTTAAAGATGAATTATAGAAACAAAGAAACTTATTAAGAAACTATAGCAAAATTCTGAGAAAAGATAAAGATCTGAAAGGAAACAACGAGGGGAAGAGGGGCTGGAAACCATCCACTTGGGAAATGCATGAGAAAGAAGAGGTTTGGGAGAAAAGGCACTTCATCTGTGACCTGCAGGTCTTCTCGCTATAGAAATCTGGGAGGCAGTTGGGTAATTGCGTTTGGAGCTTAAGAGAAAAGTGTGCTCCAGCACACGAACAGCTGGAGCCGTGAGAGGAACACTAGCAGTTAAGCGGACTACAAAGGGAAGGAACAAGAGGCCGTGAAGCTCTGCGATGAGACAAAAGTTATTGCAGGAGCTCGAAGGCACTGCATGGCCGTGGACAATGAGGGGGAGAAAGGAACACGGCCTGCCGGGGGTGGGCCCGCCTGGTGGTGGTGGTGTCGCCGAGCCCTGCCGGAGCAGGTGTGGGGCGGTGGGTGCAGTAGGGGTGCCAGGGCCGGGGGGACCACTCTCCCTAGAGGAGAGCACTGGGGGAGAGGGGCTTGTCTTCTTTGTTGTCCAGATGGGGCGCTGCTACACATTCTTACCACAACCTTCGTATTTTAACAATACCGAACAAAAAGCAAAGGAAAAACAGATGAAAATGCTGCCTTTACGTTATTTAATTATACCAGAAGATGGACATTTTCCTTTTCTGAAATCCATTCTGTCTAATACTCTGACTCTGTAATGGGGTTTACTTTGGACTTCAGGCAATGTTTATTTCAAGTATGTGTGTCCTACAAATTGTGTCTGCAAAAAATTTCTCAGTGTATTACATAAACACCCTTTTATGAATGCCAGTCCACATGTGAAAACGAACTCTCAACAGAAACTTCCATAAAGCTGTCAAAAAAGCCCAAGTAGAAACAAAGGTGTTCGCAGAATCAGATCTCTGTACCTGAGCGTAACTGCAGCACCAGCTGCTGTGGCTGGATTTGAGTAATATCTTCTGGCTGCAGCTTCTCCGCTGTTCCTTTGCTACGATTAGTTACATTTTTATTTTTCTTTATGTCTTTGGAGCCTCTGGGATTTTCGATGTCATCTGGATGACAACCTTTCTTTTTTAAGGCTTCTAAATCATCACAGCGTGCAGAAGTAGGCATTCCTTCTTGTAAAAATGTCTAAAAAAATGACATAAAATATAGGTATAAATAAAAAGTACAATGGTCAAGCCTCTCACATAACTGTAATTGCAAATAACCAATTAAAATGCAAAAATCAGGTGACACAGCTAATGTACTTCACTTCTGGCTTTTAAGCAAAATGCCCCCTTCATCCAAACCATAGTAAGTGCTCTTGTTTAAAAATTCCCCCTTGAAAGTAATAACTTTATTACTGGTATACTGCTAGTAATTTATTACTTTCGTGATACTTAGGACTGACCTAAGTGCACATTTTAACTGTTCCATGTTCAAATTTAGAGCATCTAGTCAAAGAAATGTCTTCAGTGAAATCATGTACTCAGCATGGTTAACAGCCAGTAAAAATATGTATAACCAAATATCTGACAAATACCTTTTTCCAAAATTTCCCTTAGAATAATACTTAGAAGTCTCTCATATTACACAGCATACTCCTTCACAGTTTTGAACAACTCAATGTTTAGGGAGAAGTTAAAAACTTTTGCTAAAAGGAGACCAACAAATTTAGCAGATCTAGTAAGCATTCTTTGAGGCTTGAAAAAAAATTTAGGTATTGGCTAGTATTGTAAACAAGCCTTTTAGAATTTATTTAAAAAATAGTGATTATACGATAGAGTCAAGAATATATTTGGGTGAATTTTATAAAAATAAAATAAGGTCTTAGTGGTATGGAGTGGTCTGTACATGGTACTTTTGGCACAGGGTAAAATTTCCAGTAGTGAAGTGATTTCAAAACGCATTACACCTCAAACAACTTAGACAGAAATTAAAATTTTTATCCAATGACTAAGACGTACCTTAGTGAAAGCAAAAACACCGCTGTTAAGATGTATATAAAGATTCTAAATAAGGTTTTCATGAAATGGGGAGGGGGGCAATGACAGTGTATATGTGTAAATGTGTGTATTATTTAAAAATGTGTACTTATTGTAAAAGACATTTGATCATTGCACATATATCCCTAAAAATGTTGTATTCAGTTGGTCAAAAAAATCTTCTCTAAGCTAGACACTGGGAAAATGAGGGCCTGCCTTTTATTGGGGTCACTTTATGTTCAGTTTTATGTGCTATTTATTACCCACCAGTGTCACGGTGCTGCATAAAGTGAGGGTGCTAAGCACAAAGGACACAGCAGTTCTGGTCAGTTATTTCTTAAGGGAAACAACACTCAATGAATGAGAGCCTTTCTGTACTTATTAGAATGACTGGAGGGAGCCCCATGGGTCAAAGCACTACCATGATCACGTGCGATCTAAAGCTCAAACGCCACCAGAGCCCGGGGCTCAGCGGGCTGCCCGTTTCCACTAATCAGCCAATTCAGAAAACTAAGATCACAGCACTCAAGTAAACACTAAACACACCCCAAAAGAGCGTCACTAGTTTAAGAATTATGCCACGAAGATCACAGCCTAAATTGCTGAAAGATCAGCTTGGCTAGGATAACCCTAAACCCAGATCAACTACAACCCTCATGAAATCAGAACTGCTGCTGGAGCAGGTACCGCTTATCTAGAACCTTCTAGGTGAAACTGCTTTAAGTTCATTCAACTCTTGTCACAACACAGATAAAAAGAGGCATCACATGCTCATTTTCCAGGCATGAAAATCAAGAGTTCCAGTTAAGTCCGCCTCGCCTGAGACACTCAGAGAACTCCCTGAGTTCCCCACTGTCTGCAGTTTAACTCCAGAACATCGTTTTAGGGGAACAGAAAGTGCCATCAGGAAAATTTTGAAGTAACAAAACAAAACCTGCCATTCCGTCTTTGTAGGGTCAAACCACACGAAGTATCTGCTATTTGACCAGCTATGCCCCCAAAACAGGCACTTGAATGTGGGGTCAAATGCCTGGGTAAAAACAAACTGTCTAAGTCTTTGACCTTCTGACATTACTCACTGTGAATAGATTAAATATCCTCAAAATGACTCCCCTTTACCTCCAGTTCTGACTTAGCATTCATTCCTTCATGCATTAGTTCAACATTTAGTGAGCTCTGCGGAAGGTACTATAATGACCAGTGCACGGAAGACAATTTATACCCTAACCCCAAGGGGCTCGGACCAGAACACACATCAAGTCTATGTCAGTTTAATTAAAACACAGTTAGGAAGATCAATTTATACCTCTCCCATCAAAAAAAAAAAGGGGGGTGGGAAAGGGGACAAAAACGGTCAAATTAAACGGCTAGTGTTTTGGGAAGCTGTCCAATAGAAACATAAAGCACGTCACACAGGCAAGAGCTGTGTGTATTTTACCTGTCTAGCAGCCACACTAAGAAACAAATAAAAAAGAACAGGCGAAATTAATTTTAACATCATATAGTTGTATTAGCAGTTAGCATCACTGATACTTTAAACATTGAAGTCTAGTTGATTTTCAGTCACTAAGTCTTCACACTCTGGTGTGTACTGGAGGCTCACGGCAACTCTCAGCTTGGAGCACCCGTATCTCAAGAGCTCAGCATCCCCAAGGTGCCCAGCGGCCCTGTGCTCCAGACCACCACGCGGTGCTGTGCACAGAGCTAGCGCTCCTTTCACGAATGCTGATCTGAGTGAGAAGTCCTACCCGGTACTCCTCAAGGACACAGTTCTGGACAACACCAGTGACTGAGGAGCAAATGAAGTGGCGTGAGCGAGCCCACTTACTGCGTTTGTGCACCACCCACAGTTGGGCCCGGCCTGGATACATTCTCCACATGATTTGGCATTTGCTTTTAAACATCTGTTTTCATCTGTCAGAAGAAAGAAAGAAGAGACCACTTTACTTGAAGTTTCAAGAGAGAAAATAGAGGCAAATTGATCACAATGACAAATAATTCAATATATATGAATACTGTGAACCTAGTTACTAAGCTGATTCAGACCTCCCCCCATCCCCCCACACAGGGAGGTAATTCTGGATCGTCTCAGCAGAGAACCATAAAAAGACAGAGTTATCTTTCTCGTCTTCTATAGCAAAGACAGGTACCATTAATCCATACATTTAACCTTTTCCCAAAGGTGTAATTTCAGCATCTCTCATGTTGGATGGTTGTAATTGTCACGAGTTTTCTTACAACTGGGTCAAGTATTGTTTCTTTTCATTTCACTCACACCACCACACCCAACATCCCCCTCCCCAACACCTTCACTGTAGTTTGTTAAATACTTGAAAAGTCCATATTCATCCTGTCCAGGTTTGGGTCCACGTAGGGTCAGCAGGCCTGCCACCTGCACGCTCACTCAACACTGCAGCCCTGAGACTCCCTGGGTTGCACCCTGCCCCAGCGCCACCCTAGGGGTGCAGGCAGAGCCCGATGGAGGGCCCAGCAGGCACTGGAGGGCCCTGCCCTCTCTCCGGGGGAGGTGGGGCCCTGCAGGGCTTTCAGAAAGAGCAGAACAACCTGATTTGGGTTTTCCCAGGAATCTAACTGGTCAAAAGTAATACAAGGCACTGAAATGAAGACAGCAAGGAAACTGTTTTTTCACCTGCTTGGCCAAATACGAGGCAAACTGAACTGATCAGTCCAATACAGAAAATCAGTTGTAAATTCATCTGAAATACAAAATGTACAAAGTTAGATTTTAAAAAACAATTAAAAATAAGGAAACACATTACACACACACAGTCACCCTCCCCTTACCTCTGCTTTGGTAAAAGCAACACCCTTCAAGGCATCTCTTCCAACCCTTCTCCACACCCATCACCCCTCTCCTCGGACCCACTCTGGCTTTTCTCGAAATCAAATACACTGTAACACTTAATTAACGAGCGCTCAAAAAAAGAGCAAGTGTCAAGAATCCCTACACCATAAAAGCTGCTGCTGCCAGGCCCTGTCCCAGGGGACCTGCCATCTCCGTGGCTCCCGGGGCCAAGAGGCACATCCAGCTGCCTCCGTGACCTCAGTGCTCACTGTCAGAGTGAACCTGTCAGAGTCCTGGATCATGGCACCCCCTTGCTCACAGCCTTTCAACTGTTTGTTTCCTCTAAGGCTAAGACCAACATCCTGCGCAAGTCCCTAGCTCAATTTTTGAATTTGATAACCTGTAATTCTTTCCTTTCAAGAAAATCAATAACTATCTGTGGAATTAGTAAAATATTCAGTTCAATTCCCTACAATTTCTAGATGTACAAACTACACAAAAGTGGGGGAGGAAGGGCCTAAGAAGACCTGAAAGAGCTTGTCTTCTAGAATCTCTAAAAAAAAATTAAATAAGATTTTGTGTATTAAGGAGGATACCAAACTCCAACCGTTAGGTACATCATTTCTGAGAATCAAGATTTTCAGGACATTAATCCACTCCTTACCAGAGCTGGTCACGACGGACACGGCACAGGTCTCTGACCCCATCCCTTAGCCACTTGCTGCTCCTGGACTAGCAGCCAGTCTGACGGTTATGCAGAAACAGCTGCCCCTTCCCAAGAGTGAAAACAAAGCAAAGCAAACACACCCCAAAACCCCAAAAAGCTAACAAAAGGTTAGCTCTTTTACTTATCAAAGAAATATAAATTAAAGCAATATAAGGTAAACTAGGAAGCAAACAAATTTTAACCCAACAAAACTTAACAGAACAAAAACTTCGTGCAAACCGCTGAGAGACACCAGGGAGAAGTCTGCAAACTGGCATTATGGGGCGGGGGGTAATTTAACAACCTATATCAAAAACCATTAAGAACGTTTCTGCCCTCTGCCTCAGTAAACTAGCTACTGGGAATTCATCCCAAGGAAGTAATTAAAAGTATAAAAGGTCATGCACATGCACATACACGTTCAGTATGGAACTCAAGCAGATTTACATCAGGCAAAAATGCCAAATTTCCAGTAACAGGGAAAGGGCTAACTGCATCAATCTGATGGCCCATTACAGGTCCTAAGAATGAAATGCAGTCACATCAAAGGTTTATAGAATAATTCTCGAAGCAAAGAACCCATTAAAAGTGACAGGTTTGTAAAAATAACAGTATATAAACATATAAAGTAACCAAAGAGACCGTAAGGATAACGTAAAGACAATAGATTAATTTGTGGCTTAATCGTTAAGAGTTTATTTCTTTTATTCTTCTGGTTTCTTAGTAAAAACAATTACGGCAGGGTAACCATGTGGAATCTTTTTCTTTGTTGGTAAATTTCCTTTAATAAGAAAAAAGTGTTTCCTTTAAAATCTCCCATCTCCGAGGGCTTACGTCCCAGGATACAGCCCCATAGCTCTGAGGGAGGGCTGTAAAGGTGTACTCTGAGCACCCTAGACAGCTGGTTTCTTCTGCTGCTACAGGCAGTTTACATCTGCTGCTGGCTTCCCAGAGCAAAGCGATACAAGTAACTTGCAGTCATCCACTCTGCAACTGCGCTCAGAGCAGCAAGCTCTGTTGTGCTACAAGCGTAGTTTTGCTTACACACCACTTGTGACTGCATCCAAAAGCCCAACCAAAGCTGAGGGTCACAGAAGTGTGAAATGCATGACAGCTCACCTTTTAAGGCCTGCCCAAGAGGTCCAGTGTGCAATGAACCCATGCAGACTACAATTCTAAGCAATTCAAATAATGTTATCAATTCCAAAGCTATGACTAAAAGGACCTGGAACAGTAAGACTCTGGAAGAAACGCATGACTGTGATGAATGCAGCATCTGGGCAGTTTCCACACAAAGTGAACAGAACAAATACTTGTTCCATATATGGACTGATACGTGCATCCTCAGGATCCGACTCAGGCCACTCTAAGGACCGCTCGACTGTGCTGGGAAACCTTTACCATAAAGTATCACACAATTCAGAAAATCACCACCATGGGGAAGTTGTTCCGTCACAGAAAACGTCTAACATTCTTAGGCCACGTAGCTTTAAATATTACTTTAAACGCCATGGTCCTTTTCCTTTTATAAACCTTGACAAGCTGAAGACTCGCCTTCTGAGGCCCTCCTGCCTCTGGAAGAGCCCCAGCCGGACCCAGAAGCAGGCAGCACCAGCTGAAGGGTGGGGACGCGGGCATCCAGGCCCGTCTGTGAGAGGCTTCTGCAGGCTTCCTTCCCGCGGAAACGAGAGGCCAATTAAGATAAAGAAAAGGCATGAGAAGGCGGGGGCTCAGGCAGAAGTGGCCAGGAGGCCAGCAGGCGGCCAACCGGGAGGAAGCAGCCTTGGGCAGCACCGGGTATCCCCTCCTGCCCGTGTGCCGGGAGGCAGGACCAAGGCCTCCACACTTCGGAAAGTCCTAAGGCAGCGCTGGTCCAAGCGCCCTCGGGGGACCCCCAGGCCTGCAGACCACACTCCTGAGCGTGGGGCCTGTCCTTCTGGGACCCTCGTGCTGGGGAAGGTGCCCTGAGGCATCTCCCAGCAAGAGCCTCCGCACAGAACAGTTCCTTAGGAGGGGCCGGGCCTACCCTACACGCTGTCTTCCTCATGGTCAAAGGTCTAGAAACAGGTGGTCTCACACTGGTCTCCATCCCGTGACCTCTGACTTCCCCCTCCACTCATGTAACCCACTTCCCACACGCATGTCAAACTGCTCTTGCGAAAGAAAACTTCCGAAGCCTTCTCTCACCCCTCTGCACACTTTCATTCATTCATCCTTCCTTCAACAATTTCTTGACTGACTACAACATGGACCCAGGGAGATACTCAGCTTACCCCCTACAGAAGTCACACAAAGCGGCCCCCAGACACCACTCTAACACGTGGCTGTCCTCTCCTGTTGCCCTGTCCCGGCCGACCATGCGGCCCCGTCTCTGGAAGCTCCCCTCGGCCAGCTCTGTGCCCTCCCTGCAGACGCGAGCATCGCCGTCTCAGAGAACCTTCAGTTCAGAGACAAGCACATGAACAACTACAACACGACGGGATGACTTCCACCATGAAGATAAGGACAAAGTGCGCCGAGGACACCGCGCTCTGCCTGGAGGGTCACAGGCTCCACGGAGGTGGCAGCGTTCTGGCCTGAAAGGGCAAGGCCCGGACAGAGGGCTGCGGGCTGGGCCGCGCCGCAGAGCCCCTCCCTCCAGTCCTGTTCCCAAACATTTACAATTGGGTGACTCCCCTCCCTCCCCTGAGCTGGAATTGACTTGCTCTTTCTATTTTTATAGGGAAAAAAAAAACAGAAAAGAAATATTTAAACATTATTTGTAGTTAAATCTGGCTGGTGGGGTCAGTGATTAGTTTATCCCTGTAATGTTCTACAATGAGTATAAGTAATGTTAAAATCTTAAAATATCATAAAGGCCAAAAAGAGTCTTAAAAGGCTTAAGTACTTCTGAGGCTTAGTTGTAAGTTGGAAATGACAGAAACCAAGACCCACAAGGCAGGAGGTCACAGTCAGGTCACAGAGAACCTTAAGTTCTATTATGTAGGGAGGAGCCTGGGAAAACGGCACAGGGAGGCAGGATGACACCATACACATGGCAGAAGATTCTGGCATAAAGGATGAACGGCAAGACAGGAGCCACTGGATGGGCGCAAAGTTTACCGACAAGGCTCCAGGGTGACAATGGACAAGACGCCACAGTCTTGACGAGGAGGCTCTGGTGGCTGCTCGGGTAAGGAGGTGACAGAAAGTAATCACCACATCCAAACCAAGACAGCAGAAAGGGATGTAGTCAGGGCAGAGAACACTGATGCTGACTTAGAAACGTGGAGCGTGAAATGCTTGCAGGTATCTAAGACGCCAAGTAGGAAGGCCCCTGGGAATGGCTCTTGGGGGATGATTCAGACTCAGGGACACACACCTGAGAGCTGTCATCACACAGACAGCAGTGAAATCATGAACACGGATGAGACCAGGAAGAACAGAACACTGGGGAAGAGAGGGGCGCGGCGGGCAGACTGGAGAAGGAGGAGACACAGGAAGACAGACTGCTGCAGCTGGGCCTCCTCCAGGCAAAGAGGGACAGAGGGAAGATGCCCATTACCCTGAACAGAGGTGCAGCAGCTCTAAGCCCGAGCAGGGGTAAGAAGCCGAGAGGGTTCACACACGACAGCTTACGTTTTTTGCTGAAACAGGAAGCAAGGACGAGTGCTGGGAGAAAGGGGCAGAGGGGAAGGGGACTGACGAAAATCAGCACGATGCAACAGGACTGCAAAGCGATGCTGAGTGAGGCCTGGACACCCTGATCCACGAAGGCATGTTTCCAGCACCCGTTTTGCTTGGAAACACCTGTTAACAAGCGTCTACCCTGGCAGGTTCTGAGCGCCAAGAACACAGGGCCTTCCTGTGTCTTATTTATTCAGTTACAGGTCCTAGAAATGCTTAGCACAAAGTCAATGCTCAAAAGTTTTTGCAGAAATACATTAAATTGTTTGACATTTTTCATGTACATTATTTACAAGCCCAGGAAAGAAGAGTTTCTCAGATTTAGTTAAGATGCAGACCCTCTTTAATAGCAAACAGTTACCGTAGCCACCCTCGTGTAACACCTATCAATTCACTAAAGTATACCGCAGCCAACTTCAGCTGCATATAAAGTGCCTCACACTCCACATACTTTGTACATTATGAACCAGAACTCATTCCCACACACAAACCAACACGGCCACTGAAAGAATGTAGACAGACTCAGCTACATGGGGGTCAACCAGTTAATTCACATGTTGGTTGTTTATTATTGTAATTATTAGCACAAAAGCCTCAAATTCTTAAAAATTCTTGTAAAAAC